AAGCTAAGCTACTCCGATTGACCTGAAATTTTTTAGGCACCTCTAAAATATCATTCCCTACAACTTTCATGTTTTAACCCAAGGCCAATTCGGCCCCTAGATATGAGCTATAGTACCGGGCAGAATGAAGAACATCAAACCCTAATTTTTTCAATTTTCTTCCAAAACAAAAATTGCTTGCAATTATCCACTTTTTCCACCTCCTATATCCCTTACATACCATTTCCAATCATCATACATAGCCACACAATCATATTCATATTAAAACAGAAAAATCCCCAATAATTACAAAAGTTCACCAATTCAACCAAAAATCACAATATAATCCATAAAGTTGCATCTTATTCCACCACTAAGCATAAATTAAGCATCATTAGAGGGAGGAGAGGGGTTCTTCACAACTCACCTTAGAAACAAGAGTGAGAGAGCAACTAGTCCTCTTAGCTTTCCAAATAACTCCACACAACACCTCACTATCACTCCCTTAAGTGGTTTTATGGAGCAAAAACAAGATTGGATGGTTGAGTGAGTTGATTGAAGCAAGATTGAAGCCAAAAACTTGAAGAGTTTTCTTTCTTTTGTTGCTTGAAGAGCTCGGCCAAGAGGAAGAGAAAAATGGTGAATTTTTGGTATTTTTTTGATTTATTTGGTCAATGGTAAGAACATGAATAGTAGTCATAAAGCAACCTCCACTCATAAGGTGACACTTGTCACTTTCATTAATGCTTGCCTAAGTTTTGTCTCTCTTATACCAATCCACTTAGCATCCTCTACTTATCTCTTAACACCCGGTAAATTAATTCCAGTATCCAAAACTTAACCTAGTTGGCCGAATTTTTCCGAACTTTTCGCACTAGTGGGTCCCACGTCCGGTATACGCTCTTAATTTCTCAAAAACTATTCGATACTAGAAAAATCATCTAAAAACTATATCTGCTCCTTAAAAGTATCTAGAATTTTTCCTAATCACGAAAATGCAGAAAACAAGCCATGAAAGATAATAAAACCTAGAAAATGGGAAAAATTACGGGTTCTCACACTGCAATTATAGGTAATGGTTGGTGGTAATTTGAGAGCAAGTTATAGAAGGAAGGGATTGATGGATGAAAACGGAGTGATAATAATTGAGAGAGAATTGTCGTTGGATGTAATTTGTAAACAGGATAGCAGAAGATGTCAGGTTTCTTTTTTTTTTTTTTAATCTCATTTCATTATACTATAAATTGTTGATTAAGTGAAGGTCATTATAGTCATTTTATTGTGACAAGGGAGGTCAATGTAATTTGTAAAATCTGAGGGGAGCCAAGTGAAATTGTCTTAACCTCAGGGGAGGTTTGTGAAATTATCCCAAATTCTTATGTACACTATTTTTTTTTTTTGAATCAAAGTTCAGAATTTATTCCTTTAAACGGATAGACAGAGCCGGAGGGGGGCATAGACCTTACCTCCCAAGAGGACAATACATGTATTAGAACTAGGATGGACCTAGCATTTTCGAAGGGAAGGGAGGCCAAGCATGTCCAACCTAAATGCCCTCGGGCTTGAGTAGGGAGCTCCGAAAAATGATGATAGGTTCTGTCACAGCCAATATTAGATAAGCTATCAGCCACTTGATTACCCTCTCGGAAGCAATAAGTGATGCTAGCGACATGGGGCGACAGCTGAAGGAGGGATCGGACTTCCGTATCAATACTCCACGGGCATCGAATTACTTGCTGCGCGATTTGAACGAGTACCAAAGAGTCCACCTCCACGTGCACTCTCACATAGCCACGAGAGATGCACAAGTTAACCCCAAAGAGAATTATCTACACTATAATTTTATCATTGTCCTTCATTTACTACATTATTTAATTAATTTAATACAACTCATATGTTCAAAAAATTAAAATTTGTTATTTATCATTAGATATCAAATCACATATAGCATCAAAAAATAGTATATTATTTTATATTTTTCACTTAATATAAGATCCAATTATCCAAATTACTCTTTACAGTTATATACCCATTGTCAAATAGGATCAACAATAAATAATCAAAAAATTTGCAACCAAAATATTATATAGAATAAACTTTAACATTATAAACATTCTTGTCAATTTATTAAGGTTAGCTGTTAAGATTTTTATGGTATTAACGTTTGCTCTTTGTAATATTTTGGTTACAGATTTTTTTTATTATTTGTTGTTGATAATATTTGGCAATGGGTTTGTAACTGAAAAGAGCAATTTGGATCTTATATTAAGTGAAATATATAGAGTGTTATACTATTTTTAATGGCATATATGATTTAATCCCTAATGATAAACAATAAATTCTAATGTTTTCTTTAATATTTGGCCTCATATTAGATTAATAAAAAGTTTAGTAGATGACGAGTAATGGTAAAATCATATTACCTTTTCTCTTATAATATTACTTTTTAATTATTGATTGGATCTAACTATTACAAGATAATAAATCTCAAGGAAAGTTAGCGTAATTTTCAAAACGTGGAGAATGCCAGTGAAATAATCAGAAACCTTAGGAGAAGTTACTGAAGTTAATCCCATTACATTATACCGTCGTACTATATATGTATATGAAATATTTTATTTTATTCACGTAAAGTAATATTATACAATAAATAAAGCAAATAATGCCATAAGCATAACAACAGCACACTCCTCAGTGCTGCCCTCTGTCCGTTGAAATTGCTTATCTTCTAGAACAAGTACGAAATTGTATGATCACTTTTTTAATTATCACAATAACAGACTTTTGGACTTGCAATTGTTTATAAAGAGTCAGCGCTGACCCAAATACAAGTGTTTTTAAGTTACCAGAAGTTAGACTCTTTAAATTACGAAAAATTAGTTACCAAACACTCCAGAAGTACTCTTAGTGTTTAAAAATATTTATTTTTTGTAAATACATCGCAACCCCAAAAAGATTAATTTGCCTCACCACTTCAAATCTTTGTCTTGCACCTACAAATTTTATTAAGGGTGAAAGAGCAAAAAAGTACATACAACTTTTAAGGATTATGCCTCTGCTGAAATTCAGAGCAACATTTTCCATGATAATGCTTGTTCTGGTCCAACCCAAAGAAAGATATTTAAAAGCAAAATCCATTCAACATAGAATGGTACCCCCTTGATTTCCCGCAATATAAAAGAATTTTTTGCTGATTTCCTTATCAAGCATGTGAACCATGACAAAAATTGAGGCAAAATCCATTGATCCCACAGATAGGATTCTTCAACTGGGCAAGAATCCTAGTCAGGTGTGACTACTTCCTTTATTCTTCGGGATAATTTCACAAACCTCCCCTAAGGTTTCTCACAATTATAAAGAGCTCTCCTCAGGTTTTAAAAATTACATATATTTCCCATACTTTTACTGTTTAGTAACAATGTAGGTCCAAGAACTTAGACTTTCTTTCAAAAATCCTAAATTGCCCTTTTGTACAAAACTAAGAAAGAAAAATAGTATACTCAATCATTTTCTTCCACATTTTATATAAATCAACAAGCTAAATCTCTAACAACGATCGAAACATAAGTTCTAAAATCAAGTAACCATCCAAAAGATCCCAAATTGTATATACAATATCAATACTTTCCACGATAAAAAAAAAAACACAAAACCACATTGACAACCAATTTTATACCCCCAAATTAAATATCAATGCTCTAATATCTTTTCAATATAAGCTAATTTGACCTAGAACCACCATTACAATTCTCCTATAGTTTTAAAAATATTAATATCTCAAAAGTTGAGAATAAATTCTACCTCCACAATAAAATTATAATAAAAAATTTCTAATCCAATGAAAGAAATCATTATGTAATTATTGACATTTTATAAAAGTTTTTCTTAATAATAAACAAAATATGTCAAATTCCACATGTTTGGTTCTTCTTCGTATTTCAATCATCAATTTCATTATTTATTTCTCTATCGCTGTGAGCCTTTTCATTTCGTTCTAGTTTGACACATAATCTACCTCCTTTGTAAATTTTGTAATTTCAATTTACTAATATCCACAAAACTGAAGATAATAAAAAGAGGTTATATTAGCTAGAAAATAGACAAGAGACAGAAAAACAGATTTTTTTTAAGTTTTGTAAATTTATTGCCTTAGATTTAAAATTGTCTACTTACTGGAGGGCATTATAGATATTTTACTATGTCAAGGGAGGTAAGTGTAATTTTTTAAACCTGAGGGGAGCCGAGTGCAATTGTCAGAAACCTCAAGGGAGGTTTTTGAAATTATCCCTTATTCTTCTAGGAGTTCTTTCAGATGTTTATCTATTTTTTATGCCAATCGAAAGCATATATTCTTTTTGCTTGATCATGAACCAAGTTCTGAAAAAAAAAAATAGCATGTATTGTACCCAAAGTCTTCACAAACTCGAACTTAGAATATGTACCGCAACATGTTGGGGCTGTTGTAAGAAACAATTGTCTCAAAGAATATATGGCCTCAAATTAGTTAATAATGTCAAAATTCAAATTATAAATTCGAGAGAAAACCACACTATCTAATACAACTAACATGTACAGCTTCACATAACTGAATATAACATTTCTGTCACAAAAAACATACAAACTGTTTACAACAAATTATAACGTGTTTAAAAAGTATTACGCCATCAAGAAAAAGTTGCACTCACAGTTTTCCATCCTTTCCCTTAAGGCCTTAACTAGCAAGTTTGTAAGTGCACGCATACGACAAACACTGGACACTGAGCCAATATTAGAAAGTTGGGCATTTAAACTCTAAAATTTCCAAAAGACTAGTGGAAGTCCAGTGATATTTCCACTGACAAAAGAACCAAAATATGGAACTTGGGTACTTCCTAGCCAGCAAATAAATTCTTTGTTTATTCTTTGTCTCACTAAAAAAGGCTAATAAAGCTTCTAATGACTAATGGAGCATTTCCTTGAACAAATTCCAAAGACAAACCAAATGGTAAGCTATAATTCCCTCCACAATCTCTTCTCCACTTGATTTCTTTAATACCCTTGTAGGTTTCTCACCACAAATTTAATTATCAAGCATTTTACGAAACATTCTTTTCCCTTTCCTTTTGCGAACTGTTCATTAGTATATATACACCTAATCTTAAGATTGTTGAGAGGCAAAGCTCAAACATTTCGTTTCCAGTCTATTCTTGTGCCTTTGCTCGCCCATAACAGGTTTTTTTATTTGAAACGTTGCAACATGGGAGATAGGTTACGTGTGGCTGTAGGAATAATGGGTAAATCTTCACTCTTTTTTTTTTTTCGTTTTCTTTACTGGACTTCATATTGCAATTTGGTGCATGATGATTTTTTTTTAATATCTACAGGGAATGGCGCGGCTTTGCTGCTTTATGCTGTACCCATGTAACTCAAGTTTTGTTCTACTGTTTATCCAGAGATATGATTTAGTACTATAGCATTAGTAGGGGTAAAAAACTAAGTTTTATACTAGCATATCTAGAATACACACCTCTATGTATTATCTGCATGTGTCAAAAAACAGTCATGCACACATCACAAATAGCCATGTGTAAGAAGATAATATTGGTCGAGGAGGTTTTAGTTTAGTGACTAAAGTATGAAACGTCAAGATTTTAACATCCCTTTCCCTCCTCCTCTATTAAAATAAAAATAAAAAAAAGACGATAACATTTTAATTTTGGGAGTAATATAAAAAAGTTATAGTAGCATTTTACTTATTTTCTTCTTCAGCATTCTTACATTAAATTCTCTTGCAGAATAACTTTTACAAGGGTGCTAAGAAAGAAAAACACTGAAGATTTTTCCTGCGTTCCGTACATCGTTGCATTGCTGAATTGTTTCCTCTATGCTTGGTACGGCTTGCCGATTGTGAGCTGTGGCTGGGAAAATTTCACCATTGTCTCAATAAATGCCATTGGGGTTCTTTTGGAGCTCTCCTTCATCTCTATATATTTACGTTTTGCTCCAGTCAATGCAAAGGCAAGCTACATCAGTTTCTAGTATAACTCTTTTAACAATTTCAATGGCTAGACCAAATATATAAATCATTCCATGAGATAATTCACATTGATGAATGACATGTATATAGACAAATATATATATATATATATATATATATATATATATATATATATATATATATATATATATATATATATATATATATATATATATACTGATATGACCAAAAAGAATTATTGCTTGTAATTGGACATTGTTATAATCTATGAATGTACCTTGGCATTACACAAAACTTATTCTAAATCAATGAAGGATTATCAGTATCCCAAAAGACAGTGGTGAGAAAGAAAGATTGGCCTTCTATTTTCTCACACAAACGACAGGATATGAGATTATTTCTCTTATGGGTTTATACTAATTAGTTTTATGTATTCAAGTTAATTACTAAGGTTTATTATAAAGCAGAGGTACTGAAATTCAAACATTATATAAGAATTTCATGGATGACCCTTGCCTTTGATTTTCATTTCTGCTTGGATTTTAAAGTTCACACACAAAAACACATATACATACATATACATATGCGTGTAAATATATATATATATATATATATATACATACATATATACTGAACATAATTATTTTGAAAACTCATAAGTTCCCAGTATTTTAGTTAAAACACATGGGAGGGAAATATGACTTAGCTCCCCAAATCTGATTTCATTTTCACTTGTTCCTTTCTTATGAGTGCAGAAAAAGGTTGGAATATTGACAGCACTAGTCATCCTTATATGTTGTGCCACTGCTATATCATCAGCCTTAGCAATTCACGATCATCCCCACCGGAAAATATTTGTGGGGAGTATGGGAGTAATAGCCTCCGTGGCAATGTACACTTCTCCTCTGGTGGTTGTGGTTAGTCTTCTTTGTTTGGAATTTATGCTATCTTTGGATTTTCTTCCCTCAAAAACATACTAAACTACCAATCACCCTCCTCCCAAAAAAAGAAAAAGGTGTAATTAAACTAAAATATGATGACTATTATATACATATGTATGTATATTATATGTATACATATTAATTAAAAGCACAGTGAGTCTTAGAAAAGATAGTGCTAACAACTTTTGGTTTTAGTTTTTCCATTCCCAATTTATCCTTATACTTTTAATGAGATGGCTTTTGAAGTTTGCCCTTATATGACAGCCCACTCAATCTAGTCAAAAAGCATAAAGCAATTGAAGAGTTCTTAATTGAATATGACCTCATACATTATGCTCTTTCTGTATTGGTCTGTTTATTTAATCAAATGAGATACAAGAAAAATTAAAAAAAAAGAAGAAAAATGAACAAAATGAATCCATTGAATGTACAATGATGATTAGAAATCTTGAATTTTTTAGAACAATTAATGTGTACTTAGGTAGATTGTTTGTGTGATTTTTGGAGTTTTTTGCCTTTTTGTTTATTCCTACAAATAAATTAAGTAGAAAATACATATGACTCCATCAAATGTGAAAGGGATAGTTATGATTTCAATCAAATAGTTTGTTCAGCTAGGAAGTGACTTGAATCTTTGTGCCCATTAGGCATTCAAGTACCATATGTACCCATATTTCGAATTATTCTAATAAGTGATTTAATTCATTTTTACTCTTAAAAGAGACCAAGGTCTCTTAATGCACACCACCATGGAACAGACGGTTAAAAGCATTTGAAGCTATTGAATTGATCTTACCTTTTTCGTGGATTCTTAACATGCCTCCACATGATATGGTTTAAGCAATTTGTAATTCTATAGACCATAAGAATTATCACCTTGTTATATACACATTGCTCTAAAAAAAATGGAATACACCTTTAACTATGTTCATAGCATGTTGTAAACAATTGTAGTTTTACCATGTTAACGTTATTTTAAAGATGAATTCGAGATGTTGTATTGATATTCTTTAGTTTTTGCTATTTTAAAATTTTCATAAGATTGAATTTTAATGAAGCAAATTTTGCTTTTATTTTCCCAAAAGAGATATAATTTTATCACTAACATTTTCAATTACTCCTTTTGTTTTGAGGGAAAAAAAAGAAAAAATGGTCACTTTCAATTTAATAGGCAAAGTACGAAATATATCAAAGATATTTTAATTTTAACAATACAACGTGACAAATTATCCAAACATATGATCAATTTTTAGACCACATTTTATTATTGAAAGAAGTATGTATTATGTTTTATGCAACTCAAAAACTAAAAGAAAAAAAATTAGTTTTATTAGAAATTTAATCACTAACACAATATGATGTTTTCTTTGTCATTATTTTTTTGGCCTTAGATCCATAATCAAATTGTTAATGAGCGTTTTACAATGATATGACATTGTCGAAAAAATGTTTAGATTTTGAGAAAACGTTAGTAGTATGAATTTTAGTTTTGTTCTTTTTATCATAACTTAATGGATGCTATTTCTAACATTTCATTTTTATTTTGTTTTAAATACTTCTATTGATTTGAGAATAATAAATTTTTGTTTCTCATAATTACAAAAAGAAAACCAAAAAGAATCAAATTCACGTGCAAAGCGCGTGATTTATTACTAGTAAACATAAAATGCCTATTTATTCATGAATAAATCTTTTATACACTGCCAATGTACACATTAGCGGGTCTAGATGCATACCATATATACAAAATTTGATGTTTAAATTCAAATTCAGATGATGTGGTATTCATCCAATCCCATTAATATATGCATTGACAGATAGGAAAGATTAATCCTTTATTCATTCAACCTTTGAAACTTTGCTTAATTTCCACACGAGAATATCTTTTTGACAAACTACATGATTCTTAATGTTGGCAGAAACAAGTGATACAAACCAAGAGCGTCAAATTTATGCCATTCTACTTGTCCCTTTTCACGTTTCTTTCTAGCACGCTGTGGATGACCTATGGATTCCTAAGCCATGATTATTTCATTGGGGTATGCTTCAAAACCAATATTCAATCCTTGCTGTTTGGAAAGTTTCTTTTGAGTTGGACTTTGCTAATGAATTAATAAGTATCAAGTTCAATTTATGTTCTTTGCTTGCAGTCTCCTAATATGATTGGAAGCCCTATAGGACTCTTGCAGCTCTTGCTCTATTGCAAGTACAGAAAACATTTTACCATGGATGTACCATCAAGCTTGGATGTAGAGAAAAACGGTGAGAAAATTAACCAAGAGGTGCTATCCCATGCTGAGGACAATCATGACAATGCAAAAGAACAGTTGCAGCCCGTGCTTAGTGAGGACACCAAAGGAAAAATGTGAACATGCATGGACTTCTCAGCAATCACTAATAGAGATGAAGAAAATAGGTTTTTGAGAATATGTTCCCACATGTTCTTGTTCTCTTTGCATTTTACCGTCATGAAATTTTCTGACTGAGTTTTTACAGTCAATGTTTGCTGTGAGATTTTTCAGTGAATTCCATAATATTGTAGTGAAGTGACAGAGCCAATCTATTCTGAACACTTTTTTTTCTTTTAATTTTTTTTTCTAGGGGAGGAAGGATGGGATTTAATAACTAGGGAGGAGACAAAGGGAGTAGAATCCAAAATTTCTAATTTCTGAGTTTTCAATCTTAATTATTAGACCAAAACTTCCTTGGCCAAACACGTATTGGCTCTTAAAAAGAGACTCTTTTATTTTTCAGTGACTAATCTTTGGTTAGTGCTGTAATTTGGATGAGGTAACACCAAAAATCCGAGAAAATGACTGAAAAAAATCTGTCGTATCTGAATGTAAACCTGAGCATCATGCGCAGAATTTCAATTTATTCTCCAGCACGAACGATGGACACAAATTGAGATGCTTCAGAGTTGCATGAGTCAAATTACAACTAACAATGATGGGCACAAATTCATTATTAAAGGAAAAATTGAGACAAGAAACCACAAAATTCGAAGGAGAGGGCAAAGGAGTAAGATTTCATGGCATTTTGCATCATAAAAGTGCCAGAAAAGAAAGTAGTTACTGTATGTATTACTATAAGTATATAATAATTTTGGAAATATGCATGTTTTTGGGGTTAATTACATTGCTCTGCTGCCCAACTGAAAATTTTCCATTTATTTAATTGTTGTCATTTATATATTTGGACTCATCAAAAAAAGCTGTTTTCATTTCGAAAAATTCTTCACTAAGTGCATGATAGATACAAATTAAAAGGTGATCCACCTCTTGATTTTTAGGAATTTTCATAGTTGTATTTATCGTTTGGTCATAGTGTCGTATTTTTAAATTCACTTTTTGTAGGTAGATTCTTTCATTTTTATCTATTTATTCTTGTCATTTATTCATTTGGATTCATCAAAAAAACTTATCACAATGGTTAAGTCCAGAGTTCACCAAATTTTCAATGCTTCTAATTTTGTTAATTAGTTGTGAGAATAGGGTAAACAAAATGAATGTCACTAATAATTCAACATTAAAGGACCAAACCCAATTTGTGGTAAATGAACCAAATAAAAGTTGGAGGACTCACATTGATCGATCAAAGAATATAAAATAAACTCCATCTTTGTAATTAATACTTTTGCAAGATAATACCCAAAAAATAAAAGGGTTTGTATAACGGCTAATGTTTGACACTAGTTAACGAACGTTCAGGTGTTCAGTTTTGAAAAAATAAAGCTAAATCGACAAAATATCTCAATGCAAAAGGGATTATGTGTGAGTGTTCTCAAAACAAAAATGTAAATTTTTTATATGAATTTGGTATATTAACCAAGTTGAGACTCTAAGAATTAGATATTCTAAGTTCTAATTCCATTGTCTCTTCTCACTTTTTAAATCTTATCCTTTCCTTGTTAGAAAAATTGAAAAAAAAAATTAATGCCACTAAGAAAAACAAAGATATTCTGAATTCAACTGCAATTGAAACATCGGACCAAAGTGGGGGAAGCAGAAAATTGTGAAAAACGAAAATGTAATACGCGGTGAAATTTGTGGTAGATGTAAGGGTCTGATAACAAATGAAAGTAAAAGGTAGGAAGGAGAAACTGTACCAAAATACGTAAGATTGAATTTCTTGAATTAATTTCAAACTAAGAAAACACCGGCATATGATAAAAGAAAAAAAATAAAAAATTAGAGCTGATATGCTTACGGACCACAGTTGACATGGAATAATGGAAGATGTAACGGGGTGAACAAGGCAATACGCAAAAAAAATCAGGAGGTTTATGTGAATAAGAAGAGTCTTTCAATTTTTTTTTATTATCTTTTTGAGTGCATAAAAGGCAATGAGTATTAACGAGGCTGTGTTGTTTTACCAGTTGAGCAAAATGATTATTTTTCTATTTGAAAGCTCATGATTGGGGAAAAATTGTGATGGAAATAAGATATTCTATAGTTTGGACTAATTCCATTTTGCACCTCTGAGCTTGTGTACCCATTTTCACTTTGCATGCTAAACTTCAATTTGAAAGTTTAATGTCTTAACCTCTTATATTTGTCAAAGTTAAGTCCAATAGATAATAGTGTTAGTAAAAATAATTAACAAAATAGAGGATTGTATACACAACGTATACCTCAACCACTATACTAGGTGATAGTGTATTTATCATTATCTCACAGTCCTCATCAGTCACTCATAAAACAGGTTGTGTGCACATATTCTATTCCATTGTTTTTAATAAAGTTGCTATCTTAAATATCACAAAGTTTTCTAGCAAGCTAATCAAGCTAAACCTTGGTTATTTTCCAATTTTATGCAGCTTTCAAAATTTCATAGTAATTTTTCTAATGGGTGCCAATCTAGCTAGTACACCCAAATTAGTAGTTAATTTAACAACATAAAATCACATTTATTGCCTCTCTATAATTTAAAGACGTATGCAATTTAATTTAACAATTTGAAAAAATTTATACACTTGCTAGTACCAGTTACATTGATATAATATAGACACTAATACAATATATGCCACTATTAGTGTAACAAATGCAGACATTAATACAATAATATGAAAAAGATTCAACCTTTGACACTTCTTAAATATAATGTTCCACAAAATCTTACCTAATTTCAAATTAAACCCGTTCTCACAATTAACTGTACCCTACAATCAAAACTTTGATTGCAAGAGCCTCCATTCCCATAATCCTTAACAAGGGCATGATAAAGGCTTTTGATAAACTAAACATTACTCATTTTCCTCTTCAAGAATTTATTTGGTCAAATTGCTGATTATTCATAAAGCTATGCCTGGAAGCTTGAGTCATCCCTAACGCTTCCATTTTGATTGCCTCAGTCATCAAAGTACTTATTTTGAGCACTTTAGTCTCCTAAACTGCTTGAATTTAGTCCTATAGATTTAAAATAAAAAGTGAAATATCCTTTGTTTTTGTTCCTTTTCTTTTCCAGTCTTTTCTCATCTGACAGCTCTCATATATGAATATCCATAATGAATTACAAACATGCACGTAGTACTCGAGCAAATCTAGCAACATCGAACATTTTTGTTCATAATACTTAATTATCATTTAAACATTAAATCTAGTGTTACACCACTCCTATGGCACTACTTGATTACTATTATGTAACTTTTATTGTTGGATTACTCTAAATCATGAAAAATCTAGCATTTTTGTTGGAAATTTGGTGGATAGAAAGAAGATTAAACATAGTGAGCCTGTGCATTTAGTGTGTGAGTATCAGTCAGTCAACGTGTAAAGTGTATGACTATGTATGAGTCTACAACAATAAACAAGTAAGAAGAATGAATGATTGATGTAGAAAAATGCCAACCCTATTGCACCCACAATAGAGTGGAGAAGAAGAGAAAAAGGAAATAAACTAAAAAGAGCAAATTAAGAGGAGAAGAGAGAAGGGAAGAAATCGAGGGAATCGGTAAAAGTAACAGCCATTAAAGTAGTGATAATAAAGAGAGAACCAAGATTGCCTAGACAAAGGAAACAAAAAAGGAAGGTGCAAGTAAGAATCTTGTACTCTATTTGTCAGTTGTCTTATCGAACTTCAACCTAAGAATAGTATTTAGTACTAAATCAAATATAGCAAAATATAATATTTTCATTCATACCACATAATAACCAACTCTTCTTAGATGAGTTGGCTATTAGATGAAACATAACGTACGTGTTTGACTTTAGGTTAGGGGTTCAAAACATTGTATCTGCAGTAAAAATCTAAAAGGTGTGCGGTAGTGTACTACTCCACACCTTTGGTCTAGAGATGGAATTATCTCTTTCTAGCCCTTCTTGGTGCAATTGGTGTGCCAGTAGTGCACTTGTTTAATGTAGATGTAGGATTCTTTCCTTCTAACCCTTCTTGGCGTAATTGGATCATCTCTTAGTATAGGTTAGTAAAGGAATAGGAGTAGGAATTGATAATTGACAAGGAAAAAACACACCTCTTAATGGTAACTAATATATTAAATCAAGTTTTATTCTAAAGTTCAGTAGACAAGAAGAAGATTACAAAATTTAGGTGAGTTTGTGTGCCTAGTGTGTGAGTATTAGTGAGTATATACGTATAACATGTGAGTATGTGTAAGTCTACAAGAAGACAAAAGAAAGAATGAGTGTATAGAAAACTTGAGGTAGCTAGAAAAGCTTTGAAATAGAGAAGAAAAAGAAGAAAGAAAAGAAAAGAAAACAAAAGGAACAAATTAATAGTGGAAGAGAAGAAGAGAAATGACGGAGAAATGAAGACAAATAACAAAAGTAGTAGCTATGGAAGAAATGACGATGAACATAGAGTCAATATTGTGTACACACAGAAAACTATAAATAAGTATCTTACATTTTGTCTAATCTAATACTAAACCAAATCCAACATAATCTAACAATTTGGTGAGTTTCAGTGCATCTGTGCGTGTAGCGTTTATGTGTGAGTGGGAGATACACAAGTAGCTATAAAATTTGATAATTTGTTCATGTACATAGTTGCTAGATTTTCATGAATAAAAATAAGAGAAAATCATACAAATATTATCTTTCATATTAGATTTGTATTTTTTTGCTCATCCTTTATTTTTAAAATGATGCAAATTTTTAGTTTGCCCCTCGTATATACAAAATGCACCATTTAGTGCTAGAAACCCATCTTAGAAATTTTAATTTAAAAAAAATCATACTGCCACCATGTGATAGCATTTTAGCCCCCAAAAAGAAATTAGGAAGTCAAATTTTAGTTCTACGAGACCAATTTAGATTATGGCTGTTTGAATTTTTGAGTAGTTTAGTTTTGAGAGGTCTGATAAGCTACTACTTATTTGATACACTCCCTGAAAAAGAATATAAAATATGAGAAAAAAGTTAAACTTATTTTTGACCTAGGAGATTGAAATTAAAAAATGAGTTGAAAAATAATTCTTTTTAGTTTCATTTGGGATGCATAAGTTTTATTGCAAATCTAGAATAAATAAAAGTAGAAAAGTAAAGGGTTTGCTGGTCAAATGGAAGTTTCAATTGGCATGCATTGAGGCTCATCCTCATTAGATGCCACAGT